GCCTTTCGGACGGGGTCAAACGTCCAAGGTGCCCAATACACCTCGATGCCCAATTGAGCCGGTGACCACTATCACAACGGGAAAGGTGTGGGTATTTGGCTTAATACAAGAACAAGAGTAAATCAAACCTGCGCAAAATAACCGTCTCTATCCGACAGCTGTTTGAAGTTGTACTGTTTTACTACAACAAAAATGGCACCATTTATTCCGTGGTGAGTGCTTGTGTACACGGTCTTGGAGTACCCCAAAGGGATGGCAAACAAGATCTCTCTTCGTGCATAGAAACGTCAAAAACCGAAACAATCCTGTTTGCTTACCAAAAGCGATCCTGTACATTTGGGAGATCGTTTAGGACAATTTAGGCCACTGGTCAGAGCTTGCTTGGATTCCTCGCGTAGCCGATCCTGCCAATCCGTGCGCATCGCAAGGACCGCAAACAACAGCCGCATTGCTCTTAGTAGACAACCGTGTAAAATCAAACTAACTTCCACCAAAATATGAGCTATATGTGTAGGAGTTAAAAACCGCACGAATTCGCCTTCGGTTTCCAGATGATGATGAGCTTGAACGAACTGGTGCAATAGACTAGTTGCGTTCAGGCCGGGCGGTAATTCCAATCGGACTTCTTGTTCTTTACGATAGCGAGTGAATGTTTCAATCGCGTGACGAACAAGTGGTGACACGAGTCGGTCGAATTCCGCCAATAAATGGCCGCTGCTCGAAAAACCACAACTGTCAACCTTACCACGATTATGCAATTCCAACAGCTGTAGCATTCGTTCACGCAAGCATCGCACCAGACCTTGTTTTCCCGAGAAGGAGCCATTGGGCTCTAGGGAAAAATCCGGCGAATTAAAGAATACAAATTCCATCACAAGATCCCATATCCAAAAGTCTATTTCCGAAGACTCTGTTAGATCCGCGCCAAACACGTGCCGACCGGACGTTACGGACTCTGCCGCAAATGACCCAATCAGGGGAAACGTGTTGGGGGACAGTGTGTCAAACGTATGGAACACTATCGCACGCAGCTGAGATCGGTGGGACAGGGTACAATCCGATAACCAGAGGCCATACCAGTTACGTTTGAGTGCAGCTGAAAATAACAATGACAAAAAAATGTGGAAATAATTTACATACGAACAGATACAATTTGGTCTACCTAGTAATAACCTGATTATCTTTTAGTTCCTTTTATTAAGTAGCTGATCATTTACGAGTGCTGTTTTCCATCAAAGTGCATAGAGAATTTCGCGCACACGAGTGCATGATTAGAGCTGTGGCAGGTGATCCAGATGGATTCGCAGTTCGTTATGAAATATTTCTATCGTAGCCGATTGCAATATGATCCGTTGATCGCTTATGAAAACTAAAATCATGGGACTTTATTTTTTATAAAGATCATTGTACTGTTATTGCTTTCGCACAGCCTGAACTCAGACGTGTGAAATATGTAACACAGTAATATGCGAAAAAAATTTCAGGGTACAGCACGGATCCGTGTGCAATTCCTCGGATTAAGTTGATGAGATAAGATGGTAACACATAAACCCGATTTGCCATGGTGCGCGGTGCAAGAAATTCCCCCATTCAACCTAGTACAAGTCCTAAAATGCCATAATTGTGTAGTTTCTTCAGGTGGCCCGGCAAAAACATGTGATTTTTTGAAAGGCTCATCACTAGAGCCTAAGGTTAACTAAAGCTCGAATCACAAGGCAGCGGCGTGAACACCGCAGTCCGCTGGAACCTGTGTTCTGTCCATCGGATCATACATCCTTTGGAAGTGGTCAAACGCTAAAGGTGTCAAAACACCTCAAAGCCCACAGCCGGAACTAGGAATGTATGGGTGCGGTTGGCCCGATTATTTTTGGTTGGTTAAGAACCAGGATTTTTCGTCGACTGGCCCAGATGACCCGCCAGTAATTCACCGACCC